TATGAAATTTTGAGTAAACTAAAGACACAACCTATCTCCTTGAAATCTTAGTTCGAAAGATCAAGATGGTGTCCTGACACATGAAAATGGCTGAGAAAGCCACTAGGGGGACATTCTAAGCTATCGATTGATTATTCACATCATATATTGAAGTAAGTGTATATAAGGGACCGTTTCCAAATATGGAAAGAGGTGAGCAGGACCACTGTGTTTGATTCATTACATGAGTGATATATGAGCAAAACAAAAAGATATGAGGTTCTTATTTTATATTCTAGCTTGTCAATATCGGTAATTTAAGTTTCTAATTTGTATGAAACTATAGACTTAGTATTTTGACATCAAAAACATCTAATTTGAACCAGTGCTGCATTCAACATACCATGTGACACACAAAAATCAATTGTTTATCTGTGTTTTTTAAATTTACTTTTAAATTAACAAATTGACTAATGTATAGTTCTAAAATTTGAATTATAATCTACAGTTTGATACCAAACTTATTGACAAAAAATTCATGAAGTAGTAGTTCAATAAAATTTTGAATGCAAGTCAACAAACAAGATGACATGGCCTTTCACCTGTGACCCGTCTCGAAAAGGTTAATAATTATAGTATGGAAACTCTAATGGTTACTTTGTGGTTACAAAGTTAGTCACAATGAAACTGAAATTGGAAAATTATGTATTAACATTAAAGTATATTTTGATATTAGATATCATATTTAAGATGTGATGTCTTCTGTTACAATGTTTGTACAGTGACAGGCGTAAATACATCTACTTCCAACTCTTCGAGAACAACAGCTAGATCTTCTAGAGGTCATATCTCTGTCAGGAAGCCCTCTACAATCACCTCAGGGAAAAATCTTCATAGTGGAATTCCATGGCGCACCACTTGTGATAATAAAACTATCAACAATGGAAAAAATGTTGACCTAGAACTTGGAGTTGAAAGGTTTGTTTATCAACATTTTATCTCCTCTCTCTTATCTTTCAAAAACCAGTGAAGAAAAATGATATTCTAAAGTTATTGATGTAAAAGATTTGAAATGTTTCATTCAGGATAATTTGTGATGTCTTTAATATGAATAAAGTTTTACTTTATATTGCTGTAGTGACCTATGTTTGCTATGTGTATCACTGATTAGATTATTCCACTGAATTTTGCATTTTATCTCCAAATCCATGGAAGATTTAATTTTTGAAGTCCAAGTTACCAAGTTTGAAAGAATAGTGGTCAATAGACCATGGTATGCAGATGATATGGCATTAATGGCAAGCAATATTGTTGTAGGTTATTTTTTTATTTAATGTTTTAATTTTAGACATTCATTAGAGGGAGTTTTAGGTGAATGGATACAGGCAGATCAATGTGCACTTGTCATAACCTTTATACAGAGTTACATTCAAAATTTAATTAAACTACTTTGTTATCAGAATACGTCACTAAATTTGGGATGAAAATGTATTTTATAATTCAAATCTTAATATATATATATATTTTTTAGTTTTTATTTTCAAAAGGAAATATTTCAATAAATTCACAATCTACTGTTTTATTTATTATTGTGTGAAACATCTTTACACTGAATTGTGCATTTTAGAATTTATTTCCGTCCCTGTATATATTATCTAATTTCCAGACTTTCACATTATACATCAGATAACTTCAGGCAAAAAAGAAAACTTACAACATCTGTTCATCTTGCTTTATTGAGTTATTTGCCATAAACTGAAACTTGCATGCCATGCCTCTCCTAGCACGTGCTGTCTTTAAACAAATATAAATAATTATCCCTGACATTTGTTATTTGATTATCTATTACAAATAGAAAGAGAAGACTTTAATTTACTGCTCTTTTTATGAGGTTGGCTCATTCTCACAATTAGCTTGAATTGCTTTGTGTCAATTTCATAGTTTGCTATTGCCTAGATTGTCTCAACCAGGTAAGGAAAATATCTTAATGCACATATAGCTTAGTTAGAAAGTCAGTTAAATTATAATAGTTTTAGAACTTTGTTGTTGTTTTTTGCTGTTGTTGCATGGTAATATTTTAGGTTCTAAGTTGCTTAATTAGAATAAATAAAAATTATGTGAAGTAGTAACAACACCTCTACAAGAAAATGGGGTTAACTTTCATCAAGACTTCAAGACTTTTATGTATGTTCTTTTATTTATTGTAAAAGTAACTAAAATATAAAAGATAGGAACCTATTGGGGTAAATAAGAAAAATGAAATTAAAAAAAAAAGATTCTACATCATGAGCATATTTAGTGTGTGCAGCATGTTGTAATTTGACTGTGCATTCTGATAACTCTATGCTGTTTTTACACAGTTTCCCCATTGTGATAATTTGTTTTGGCTCTAATCAAAGTAGCACTAAAGCAATAAATTTAAATAAATGGGAAATGTGAATTATGTTAGCTGTGGCTGTAACAAAAAGTTGTGTGTATTGTTTCCAACAAGCTGAGGGTTGGGAAAAATAACAGATAAAATATGAAGTTTTACTGGAAAATACTAGATATTCATATAGGTGGTTCTAGGGGTTATGCAAATAAAGTCTTAAAATTGTAAAATAAATTCACGGACAAATCTTTAGTAAAAATCTTTAAGTAAAAAATTGTTTATTTTTGTACAAAAGACTTGTAATGTTTACTTTGTTGGTTTAATTGAGTATTATTGCATCAGAATACCTAGTGTTGCATGGAATGTTTTAGACTTCTGTTGGGGTACAAATATGAGTCAAAAATTAATCATTATTTAGGTCTAGCTTTAGACTGTGTGATTATGAGTTTAGTGATAAAGAGTGTTTAGTGGCAATTATTAAAGTAAAATTATCACAGACTGTACAAATATCTATCAAGGAGATTCTACTAGGGAAGTTAAACAGATCATAATACCAACAGAATACCAGACTCATGTGATGAACTTGGCTGATGAATCGATTGTGAGAGAACACCTAGGAGTGAAGAAGATGGCATACAGAATCACCAGCAACTTCCATTGGCTGTGGGAGATATGACTAGATTCTACAGGTCATGTGACATCTGCCAAAGGACAATACCTAGAAAGAAGGTAGCCAAGGTGCAACTGGATGAGAAGCTTTTCATAGAAAAGCCATTCAGCAGAATAGCTGTGGACTTGATCAAAACACCAGCACTTCGATCCAACAAGGGCAACCGGCACATGCTGACAGTAGTCAACTATATGACACGTTACCCAGAAGCTATAGTAATGCATAAGAGAGACAGAGAGAGTAGCAGAAGCCCTCTTAGAAGTATTCTGCAGGGTATGATTTCCAAAAGAAGTATTGAGTGACAGAAGGACACATTTTATCTCAAAACTGATGCAAGAGGTGTGCAGACTCATCAGCACTAGTCAGCTTTTTGCCATCCCATACAACCCCAGATGTAATGGACTTTGTGAGAGAATCAGTGGAATCTTAAAGAACATACTGAAGAAGATTTGCCAGGAGAGACCACATGACAAGGGACAGGTATCTGTAGGAAGTATTATTTGCTTCTATGGAACTCCTACAAGTGAGTACAGGATTTTCACCCTTCGAGTTACTGTACAGAAGAACTGTAGGAGTTGTGATTCAGATATTGAATAAACTGTGGACAGGAGAAGAGCTAGAAGTGAGGAACACATACCAGTACATGTTAGACCCTGACTGGAGGAGACCTATCAAATCGCTTGATAGAGCTTTAAGGGAGCTTCAAGGCAGTCAGAAGTACTTCTGTGATAAGGAGGCCAAGGATTGCTGTTTAAAGGTCTTATTTTTGCTACCCACAGACAACAGCAAACTCACCCTGCAATGGAAAGGATCTTTTGAATTGCAGGAAGTGGTCAACAGAATGTAGTACAAGGTGAAAGTGGACATGAAGACCAAAGTATACCATGCCAATCTGTTGAAGTGGTACTTCGAAATGGAAGAAGACCTAATGGGTGCAGTGATTGAGGCACAGATGGATGATGCAGGTATGGCTGTAATAGACACAGAAATATATAGTAAACTGCATAGGTGACAAATGAATAGGTAAAATAATTGCCAAGTTTTCTTATATTTTTATTTTAAGATGATGGCCACCATATTTGCCATTCAGAAATTCCAGAACTACCTCTACAGGAATGAGTTCCTCATCTAGACAGACCATCAGCCCCTTGCATACATACAGAGGTCCAAAGTGACAGTGCGAGTTTCATGAGGTGGGTGTTGTACCTCCAGAACTACCAGTTCCACACTGAGGCTATCAAGGGGACTGCAAATGTTGGTACAGATTGTATGAGTAGACTTTGAGCATGAACTGAGATTAGTCTTTATATTAGGTCATCAAGAAATTAATGTCGCTTTTTTTAGACTACAAAACCCGAACAATTTATATATCAAAACGAAACATTTATTAAATGAAATAGTCTTATTTTTGATGCCTTTCCA